GTAGATTAGCTCCTTTTTGCTGCTGTCGGACGACCGGTCATGATGGGCGGTCAGTGGGTTTTGTACATATGTAATAGAGGTGGGTGCTGTAAAAGAAGCAGCAAGCAGCAAGCAGGAAGCAGGAAGCAGTGTAGAAAGAGGACGATATGATACGTTGTTGCCCCATTGCCCCTCTCCCTCTCTTCTTGCTCTCTCTCTCGCTCTCTCCCCCTCGTGCACCGTACATGACTTGGCAGGCAGGCGTGAGAGTGTGTGGGAAAAAAGCAATCATGTGGCCCACGGGGAGAAGTGCCCTAGTTGTTTTTCTTGTACCTCTCTCAGTTCGGTCCAAACGTACGTGCGTGGTACGTCCACTTTAAATTGCGCGTCTTCGGGAAGGAACCGCGATTAGCGAGGTAAAGGGTCCTACGAGTTATCAGCTAAGCGACGGTGGTTGATCGCCGCTGCACTGATGAGGTGGTGTTGGTTGTGTTGAGTAGCTTTTTCTGGGATCAAGGTACGTCGTTCCGATAAGTAAATGTTTCTTTTTTCCCTTTTTCCCCGTTTCTCGTTCGCTCATTCGTGTATATGTAAGTATGTGTGTGTGTGTATGTGTGTTCTGGACGGAACGTTTGGAGAATCTCGGGGTACCAATGGTGGTGCAAGCAAGATCTCTTTTGTCTTTTGGCAGCGGGGATCTGCAACAACATGATACGTTTGTAAACAAACGACTGATTGACTGTCGACTGACGGGCGGGCAAAATCAAAGAAAAGAGACTTGTTTCCTTTATTTCATGTGGGACTACCTACCTATAACACACCTTATGAGACATCATTTGTGCCGGTCGAGGCTCTCTCTCAGCTATGTATTGGGTTGACGTGCAGCTGGAATTACAGGCACCAGTTGGCGGGTGGAGCTTGGTTGGTTGGCGACGATCAAGGGCACGCAACCCAAACGCAACCAAGCAATAACCGGGAGAGGACTGTGTGGACGATTTACCTCGATATGAGATGAACTCGTGCAGGGGAACGTCCTTGATTGGCCTGTACAGGAATGATACCTACTCGGAACCACGGCCGGCTCTGACTGTTATTCATCATTTAAAGGCATCTTTCGACTACCGTTGAAGAAGGAAGCCTAATGGGGGGAGGCGGAAAGTAAAGCAAAACAGAGAAATATAACCAGTCATCAGTTTTGATCTATCTTATATCGCATGGTCTTTATCAAAGTTACACCTCCAGGGTTCTATTACCTTGAGTGAGATGCATTTGAACGCTCGCACCACGCCTGTATGTGGGCATATGACTTGACATTTGGTGATGGTAAGTACATGAGGTATGCAGAGTTAGATGTAGTAGGGTAAAGATAGGTCGGCATGCATTTGAGAGACTGTCACTGTACGAGTATGTAGCACATACTAAGAATAACTTATTCAGACGGGAATCGAACATTCTCGCGGCTTTTTCAAATCGAATCAATGAAATACCTGGCCGTTTCCACGAAAGAAAAAAGGGACAATTTTGATTGCCGCTGCTGCCACTCGGAGTGAGTCGGTCGGTTGGCCTTAGCGGGAGCCATGGGAGCCATGGGAGGGGGACAGCGTGACGACTTTTGCGCTTTCTCGCGCGGTTGGAATAAAGCTAGCGTGGTCCTGGTTGGTCCCGTGCGGGGTCTGGCGTTAGTTTAATCCCCGTCGCTGTAGAGTATGGAGGACCTGTGTGTCGTCATGCTCAGACATCCAGCCGGGACCCCTGAAAACGGCCAAGCGTTCAAAGAAGCTGACTTGACAGGCGGACACCAGACAGAGACAGAGTGCACGAGGGGAGGGGACCCGGTACGTAGGGACAGTCCAGCCACACGGCCGGGAACGAGATTTCGATGTCTGTGGCATCATGGTTCTGGGACGACTCAATTGATGTATGGTGGATCGACATACCGACGACGGGGAGAGGGCCAGGGAAGAAGAAAAAAAAAAGTGAATGGGTGATAGCAAATAATCTGGTTATGCTTTTTTGATTTTCCTTCCCCGGAACCCACTCGCGGAGGACGATAACCGTGCTACGAGCGAACCGTTGAAAATCCGCGCGGACGCAGAAAGGCAGGCAGGTAGACAGACAGACAGATAGACGGACAGACGTGTGTGAAGTCGAGAAGTGAGATTTTATGCAAATCCCTTTCAAGGATAGGGATGATTGTTTTTGCAGTTCAGAGACGGGCTGGTGCAGGTAAAGAAATGCGTGTATCTATTTTCATGTCGCAGGGTAGATTAGGAGTCCGAAGGGAATGGTTTTGAGACGTTCAATATTACTTACACCTCTTGCTCTGCTCTAGTGCCATCCAGCTCTTAAATGTCTATCGAGAGAGGAACAGAGGCTCCTCTTCTGCGTCTACTATGGCCGTGAATATCATAAAATCCTTTGATTTGATGACGGCATTGAGGCTGGGTGCACTGGTAAGGTAAATAATGTATTCTACTCTAAAAGAGGAGGGCGAAGGCGTTGTTCGATTCAAGATAGAATCTTGATGGATGGGTACGCTAAAACGGGCGCGTGACACTCCACGAATACACATCCAACTTTGTCTCCGTGGACCGTGTCCCCCCCCCCCCCCTTCTTCCAAAACAGCGTCAGAAGATTATTTGAAAATGACGGTCCATTTGAAGAAATTTCCCAGCTCCCCACTGGTACCGACTGGATGTGGGCCTGTATCTCTCGTGATTGGTTACAAGGAAACGTTTGAGCCTGTTTGGGCTGTGTGATCTCGTCTTGTGTATGCAGACTCTGGTTTCCTCGAGTCGTCCCTCTGATTTAACGGTGATATCTCTTGACGCATATGGATTTTGAGCAAGCTGATGCTTGTATCAGTAGAGCAGCGATCTCTCAATAGATACCCTGGGCTTGTTTTGTCTTGTCTGGGTCAGTCAACTTCTTGCTTATTTTTATTTTATTTTTTTTAAACTTCGCCTGTTTTGGATCTCTTTGCTTAGGCTCCGTTTGGAGGCACTGTCTCGTAGCAACCACGGTCCCCGCAAAATTCGATTTGGAGGTTGCAAAATACAATCCGCTCAAAGTGTGATTTGGTAAGCCAAACGGTCAGTGCAACCCCATCCACCATCACCATCATCCGTCACCATCACCACTTATCTGTCACAATCACCACTTATCATCCATCACAATCACCACTTATCATCCATCACAATCACCACTTATCATCCGTCATACTTTATCTCAAGTGAGATACAATCCTACCTGATTAATATATCAAGCTAATAAAACTACTAGAGTTATAGTATTGCGACCCGCGACCTCGCGACCTCGCGACCTCGACCCACGATCCTCGCGACCCTAGCAACTTCGACCCACGACCCCGCGACCTCGACCCGTTCGACCTATACAATCTGCGTCCTCAGCATTAGCCTGCAACCTCTGAGTGTCTGGCTCTCCTACTCCCCTACTGTCTGGCCCTGCTGTCTGGCTCTGCTACTCGCCTACTGTCTGGCCTTGCTGTCTGACCCCGCTACTCTCCTACTGTCTGGCCCTGCTGTCTGGCCCTGCTACTCGCCTACTGTCTGGCCCTGCTGTCTGGCCCTCAGGCTGCTACTCGCCTACTGTCTGGCCCCGCTACTAGTACCCTCTTGTGCTACCCTCTGTCTCACTAGTCCCGAGTTCACTACCTATTCTTATCAACCTCCAGCTATTCGGCCCTGCAACCTGTTGTACCTGCAATCTGTTGTACCAGACCTTGAGAATTAGAGGCTCCGATACTTTTTGGAATGAATTCAGATGATTCCGATTCCGAGCAAAACCTTCTCTTGTTGTTAGGAGGAATTTACGGCACGACAGTTTTGGCTCCTTTAGTAAGAGAGCCGTTCAATACCTCTAAGCTTTCTGGAGAGCAGTGGACCCAAGAAGTTTTGGATTGCAATAACCCCAGATTTTTCCGGGAGGAGATGAGAATGGAACGACCTGTTTTTGATTCACTGTGCCAGGCTTTTAGGAAAGGTGGTTACTTGAGCGATTCCCGCTTTGTATCTGTTGAGCAGCAGGTTCATATGTTTACCTATATGGTAACGAACTCCGCTGTTACTCGCGTTACAGCAAGTCGTTTCCAGCACTCAGGAGAAACAGTAAATAGGTATTTCAACAAAGTTTTGAATGCGCTTGATGATATGAGTTCAAAATACATAATGCTACCTACCGAAACTGAACCATCTCGCGACGTATCAACTCCAATCGAGATTACCAGCAATCCTAAATTCTATCCGTATTTTAAAGATTGCATAGGTGCAATTGACGGGTCTTTGATTCCCGTTCGCATTACTGGAGATAATGTTCCAGCAGCAGCATATAGATGCCGTAAGGGTTTTATGGCTCAAAATATTCTCGCTGTCTGCTCTTTTGATCTCACTTTCCAATATGTTCTTGCTGGATGGGAGGGATCAGCGAATGACAGCAAAGTCCTTGAAGACGCATTGACGAAAGGTTTTACTATGCCGACCACTGGCAATAAATATTATTTGGCTGACGCTGGCTACGGTTTGACTCCGCACTTTCTCACTCCTTATAGAGGTGTTCGCTACCACTTGAAGGAGTTTGCACAAGGTAAACAAAGACCAGAGAATGCGAAAGAGCTGTTCAATTTAAGACACGCTTCCCTGCGCAATGCGGTAGAAAGAATTTTTGGTGTATTAAAGAAACGCTTTCCAGTTTTGAAGACTCAATGTGAGTACAAGCTTGAGACACAGGTGCGGTTGGTGAAAGCGCTTTGCTGTTTACACAACTTTATACGAATGCATAGCCTTGATGGTTTGGATCAGTTTTTTGATTTAGCATTGGATGAGATGGATTTGGAGAATGAAAGACTTGATTATGGGTCCAACGGTTTGAGTGATCAAGGAAGAACGATCTGGCCAGCTACAAGATCTGAACGTGATCTAGCAAGCAAAGCAAGAGACAAAATTGCCGATCAAATTTGGCGCGATTATGTTAGGTACATCTGCAACAGGGACGGATAGGTATATTTATACGCCCTCTGCAGTGTTTTCTACCCTATCTATTGTATCCGACACTGATTTCTTCTTTTTGACCCAGCCCAATTTGATATGTTCCGGTGCACTACAGAAAAAGATTGCGTGCCTGTCATCCTTCAACATTATTTCATATGCCAACATATAATCCTCTTCTGACCATTTCCCTTCTTCAACAAATTCGGTCATTTTGTCTAATGCTTGTTCGAGTTTGGTAATAGGCGGTGGGGCACGGATTTGTTTGGCCTCTTTGAAAGCTTTTGCAAGCTCATTCAAGCCCTCCGCTGCAGCATGTGTAGCAGTCCGTGGTTTCTTTACAGTTGTATTGTATGTTTGGGCTGAAATTGATGGTGGGCTTTCCGTTTCAGTTCTCAAACGTTTCCGGCTGAACATAGGAATAGGTGTACTATGCCGTGACTCGGATATGTGTAGAGGATCGTCGTAATCTGATTTTTCACCGTCTATATCCGTGTATTGGTTTTCAAAATCTTCGGTAGAAACTGGTTGTGTAGATGAAGAAGCACTAGATTGAGATTGTGTAGTAGCAGAAGCAAATAGCCCAGTCGCAACCGATTTTGAGAATATTTCGTATAACATATCATGGTGCTGTAAAGTTCTGTGTCGGAATTGCTTTGCGTCTTTATGATACTATTGTATGCTACACGTTAGCATCTGTAAATAGTACTGTTTAGAATATAAGAAAAACACCTGAATATATGTATCCCAGACATCGTCAGGAGCGGTCGGGATTTTTCTTTCAGAATCCCAACCGAAACCCGAATTCTCGCAAAGCTTTTGGAAAACATCCAATTTTTTTTTCAACTATGACTCTTATTAAATCTATGACTGAAATAATATATATGCCCATATCCACTTACTGCAAAAACACGGGTTTTAACCTGCTCTCTTTCACAACCGGGCGAAAAAACAGAGTTGAAATCTGCAGTTATCTGCACCCATGCCTCCTTCTTAAAACCATTATCTGACCGCTTGCCAGCTTTTATTTGCTTCAATAAAAGCTTTAACAATAGCTTGTCTTTTTCATCGTCCCAAACCGCTTTGGATTTTGGAGGCATTGGTTGTTGGGTAGTGCGCGCAGGATCAGATTCTCAGGCTGTTTGAGGGGTTGTGTCGGGTGCGGAGATGGAAGGCTCTCACAGAATTGAATTGGGTTGCAACAGGAAAAAAAAAGAATTGCAGGAATCATGATTCCCCGGATCCTGAAAGTGCGGATCCAAACAACAAAAAATTCCGGAACTCACATTTCTTCCGGGATCATAATTTGACCCGTTGCAACCACGATTTGGACGGCTTCCAAAAGCAGCCTTAGTTGCTTGATTGATTGAACAGCGACGCAGTCAGTCAGTCAGTAGGCTAGACGAATCAATCAGATCATCTGGGTCACCGCCGCCCAATCCATTATCAGACAGCCCCAATTTGCCTCCTGGCGCCCATTTTCTCTCTCTTCTTTCTTTCTTTGCCTATTCTCGTGCACTTTGAATTCACCCTGGTAATCTTTTTTGATCGTAGTTATTTATTATTCAACTGTCGTGAGATTTGAGATTCGACGCACGATACTTTCGGAAGCTTTCCTCAGTCGAAAAAACCCTTGCAGTCGAGTCCAGGTCCCCACTATCCGCAACAAGAAGCAAGCAAGCAACGTTGTTGACCCCTCTCTGCTGCCCACCAATACATCACAACCACATCCGGCGCTCAAGAAGCCCAAACTCTATCCGACACTAAAAGTCCTCCAAAATCCACCCACCTTTCTCCTCTCTTGCACTCGCCTGCGCAGAGCCCTGATCCACCTGCCAACCCCCCCTCCTTCTCTTCCTTCTTCTCCTGCTCTCCTTCTTCATCCATTATCGTCAATTCATCACTATCGTCGCTACCTCTTACTCACCTTCTCTCTTGCACCGTTCTCTTCTCTCTTTCTTCCCAACCCAATCCCCTTCCGTCAACCCCGCCAAACACCCTCCTCTTCACCCCACCACCACAAAACTCATTACCACAGGTCATCATCACAACCCATTATCAAGATAACCCATCCCCTTCTGTCAACAAATCCCTTTCGCTCTCACGTCCCTGTCGTCGCTGCTGTCGACTAAAGTTACCTCGCTTGCTCATCTCGGTACTTGGACGTGTTGCATAACTTTCCACCCTCTGTCTCGACCATCTCGGTATGTCCCCTTGATTTATCTATCCATCCCCCCCCCCCCAATTCAAGATCATCCCCTGTGTTTTCAGGGTCTTCTCTCCTCTTAACCGTCCTAATCATCTATTGTTAACGTAACCCGCTAATCTGCCAAACTAGCCAGCACATTCCTTGCGCCACCTAACCCTCACACTATCAGTGTTCGTGTGCAAATCATCAACCTTAGTTCTTAACCTCAACAGCTCATCACCTCCATCCTCTTCCGTCCCTTACTTCAATCGTACGCTAGATTTCGAGATTCACTCTCAGTTATAAAGCTTTTGAGGTTGGAACTGCTGGTCGTTGGAGTACTCGCTGCTCATCGACTCGGTGTTGGATCACTGTCTGGTTTTCCGTCTTTGTTGAGCGTCTTTCTTTCGTGGTTTTGCTGGTGTTCGCTGGCTGTTTAGCCCTGTCTATTTCACCCATCATCTTAATCGTTCCCATCAGTACGGCCGTTTCTTCAATTATTATATCCTTCAACCTTCATCCTCGGCATTTTCCTTTTTCACGGCAGCTGTCATAATGTCACAAAACAGACCTGCTGCCTTCTCTGGCCTGCGAATGGGAGGCAAGTCAATCAATTCTTATCCATTCTCACATATCCTTCGTGGCATATGTGTATTATATTCTTACTAACCTTCATGCACAGAGGTTATTCGAGAAAAAGTGCAGGATGGTTTGACAGGGGAGACAAGGGAGATGCAGTATACACAATGCAAGATTGTGGGGAACGGTTCTTTTGGAGTGGTTTTTCAAACGAAACTATCACCTAACGGCGATGATGCCGCAATCAAGCGTGTATTGCAGGATAAACGGTTCAAGGTTGGTATTTCAATGAAGCAAAGCAGTGTATTCGATACCCTCTAACATATACGACACTACAGAACCGTGAGTTGCAAATCATGCGGATCGTGCGGCACCCAAATATTGTTGAGCTCAAAGCCTTCTATTATTCGAATGGCGAGCGGGTGAGTGCGAGTGCTCTCATAACTCCCTTCTTTAATGGTTCCTGGTGATAGCTAACTGTTTTGTAGAAAGACGAGGTCTACCTCAACCTTGTCTTGGAGTTTGTTCCAGAGACAGTTTACCGGGCCTCAAGATACTTCAACAAGATGAAGACTACGATGCCCATATTAGAAGTAAAGCTTTACATCTACCAGCTTTTCCGATCTCTTGCATACATTCACTCGCAGGGAATCTGCCATCGAGACATCAAGCCCCAGAATCTCCTGCTCGACCCTGCATCAGGTGTTTTGAAGCTGTGTGACTTCGGTAGTGCGAAGATCTTGGTCGAGAACGAGCCCAATGTCTCGTACATTTGCTCGCGGTATTATCGTGCTCCTGAGTTGATATTCGGTGCTACGAACTATACTCCCAAAATCGGTACGGATAACCCTTTTACACTGGTTTGTGAAACGTTTCTAACTTAAGGTTTAGACGTATGGTCCACGGGTTGTGTGATGGCGGAACTGATGCTGGGACAGCCGCTTTTCCCTGGAGAGTCGGGAATAGATCAGCTAGTCGAGATCATTAAGGTCCTTGGAACCCCAACACGGGAGCAGATCAGGACTATGAACCCGAACTATATGGAGCACAAGTTCCCACAGATCAAGCCACACCCCTTCTCGAAGGTATATAATTTATTTCTTGTATTGGTGGTATTTATGGACAAAGCTCTAATGCTGCTTTAGGTTTTCCGTAAAGCTTCAACGGAGGCCATTGATCTTATCTCAAGACTCCTAGAGTACACACCGACACAGCGTCTCTCAGCAATCGAGGCTATGTGCCATCCATTCTTCGATGACTTGCGTGACCCAGCGACCAAATTGCCCGACTCCCGCGGCAGTGGTGGTGTGAAGGATTTGCCCCGTCTATTCGATTTTACTAGGCACGGTATGTTTTGTCCTTCGCTGGTTTGCATGGAAGATTTTCAATGCTGATAACTTTACAGAGCTCTCTATCTCGCCTGAGCTTAACGAGCGGCTGGTACCGCGTCATGCTCGCCCGGCATTGCTAGCACGTGGCATCGATATTGACAACCTGGTTCCGATGACTAGAGAGGAGATGATGGCCAAGCTGGATTGAGAGCGTTTATTCCCAACACATATTTCCATTCGTTCAGTTTTTTTCTTCAAAAGGCATAACGACGCCAGATGCGACAGCACAAAGGATGGTTTACGATACGATACGGCACATTGGAAATTGGGTGGCATCTTAATTTTCCGTTAAATGGCTGCTGTGGGCAAAGGTGTAGGAAATGCAAGGCTGTGTTTGCACGGTTGGGATGGCTCTTGGGTGGTGTGTGGTGACGACTACCTTTTTTTCGTTTTCTTTTGTATACGGTTTCTCTTCTCAAGCAAGCAAGCCCTTTGGCTTTATAAACCACCCAATGTTTAACTACTAGTTCAGAGGTTGTTTTTTTTTCTTTCTGAGCTGGCGAGCGAATTCATTAAAAGGTGGATTGCTTTGGTGTTGAGATAGGGTTTCTGGGCGAAAGAGAAGGTCATGGATTACCCACGTGTTCGCCAAACGAAAAAAAATTCTTAAAAATGGCGTCTTCGTTTTCGTTGTTTCATTTTTCATTTTTATTTCTCTTTCTCTTTGGCTCAAAAAAAGGTGCTGGTTATTGCTGGTGGAAGAAAGCATTATGAAGGGGTTAGGGCTAGTATCGCGCTCGATCGATGGCGTGGATCGTTGCTAAGCATCATAGCCAGCTTTCATCTGATGTATCAAGTCAGGCACCTTTGAATGGAACGGGTAACAGAGTAACGTTGGAGAGAGGGGTATTAAATGTTTTTCTATTTTTTTTCTATTTTATTATTACGGGGGGTGTATGGGTATTCCGCCTGAATTATATTTTGCTCTGTTTTCCTCTTAAGTTTCCTTTTCTCCTGGTTTCCTTTCCCTGTATTCTAATGAGCTGTCCCTTTTCTCTTGTATTTCTCCGGAAAAGAACGCAACCCATAAATTGCTCATTTATTTTTTAAACAAAAAAGTAGATGGTGGTGCTAGCGAGAGTTGTTTCATCGGGCATATAACTACATTACAGGCACGCTCCCCTCACTCACAGCTCTCCTCCATCTACCTACATACCCCCCTCGTTTCTCCTCAGCTACTATTTCCCGGGTCCCTGATTCTACACCACACTTGTGATCTCCGCTAAGAGCCCGCTTCTCTTTGCTGCAGCAAACCTCGAGGTTACTCAAGTGTTTGGAATCGATAATCATACGTATCCAGCCAGTCGATCTCCTAGTTAAATGTCGCACCAGCAGCGGAGATCGACAATCTGGAGCTGATGGAATGTTCGATTATGTTCGGGCCTCCATCCGTCTGCTCCTCCAACTTGCACAATCTTGACAAAAAAAACATGATATCCCAGAGAAGAGTGCAAAAGAGCCGCCGCCGAGGAGGGAGGAGGGGTGGAAGGGGCGGCGGCGGCGCGGGGAGGAAAAGGGAGAGGGGGGGGGGGGGTAAGATAGATAGATCTTGGAGTAACTACTAACTAAGCTACTGATAAGTACCTACATGTATCGACTAGGGTTTGAAAGGGGTCAATTATTGTAGATTGACTAACCCCAAAACCTACATGCTGGGAAATTCGCTTGAAACAGTAGACCAGAGCAAGCAACAAACTGCAGGGCTAGTATGCGGTTTTACGTATTGGTCACTGTCGATCCTTGCTTACATACAACAACAATACAACAACTTATCCGGGGAGGGAGGGAGCCCGGGGGGGGGGGTATTATCATCGATTAGGAATCTCGGTAGTATGATAACCCGTACGAGTAGGAAAACACAGTACATACACACCCGTAGACGGTCTGAGACACAGCGCATGGAAAACGAAACACCGGCTTCGATCGAGAGACTTGATAGAAA